TTCCACTCGGCCTCGGCACCAGTTAAAGTACTTCACCAATTTAATATTAAATGGGCTCTATTATCCGAGATGCAGCCCGGGCACTTTTATCAACTTAATTCACTTGTCTGCTCAGTTGTTTTCCACCCAGCCAAAGAACTTCAACAATTTAATATTAGACAGGTTCTATTATGCAAGACACAGCCCGGGCAATGTTACCAATTTAATTCATTTGTCTGCTCGGTGATATTTCACCTGGCCTCAGCACCAGTTAAAGTACTTCAACAATTTAATATTAAATCGGCTCTATTATCCGAGATGCAGCCCAGGCATTGTTACCAATTTGATTCACTTGTCTGCTCGGTTATTTTCCACCCGGCCTCGGCACCAGCCAAAGCACTTCACCAATTTAATATTGAATTGGCTCTATTATCCAAGATGCAGCCCGGGCACTTTGACCGATTTAATTCACTTGTCTGCTCGGTTATTTTCCACTCGGCCTTGACACCAGTTAAAGTACTTCACCAATTTAATTCACTTGTCTGCTCGGTTATTTTCCACCCAGCCTCGGCACCAGCCAAAGTACTTCACCAATTTAATATTAAATCAGCTCTATTATCCACTCGGCCTTGACACCAGTTAAAGTACTTCACCAATTTAATTCACTTGTCTGCTCGGTTATTTTCCACCCAGCCTCGGCACCAGCCAAAGTACTTCACCAATTTAATATTAAATCAGCTCTATTATCCAAGATGCAGCCCGGGCACTTTTACCGATTTAATTCACTTGTCTGCTCGGTTATTTTCCACCTGGCCTCGGCAGCAGCCAAAGTACTTCACCCATTTAATATTAAATCGGCTCTATTACCCGAGACGCAGCCTGGGCACTTTTACCGATTTAATTCACTTGTCTGCTCGGTCATTTTCCACTGGCCTCGGCAGCAGTTAAAGTACTTCACTAATTTAATATTAAATCAGCTCTACTACCCAAGACGTAGCCTGGGCACTTTTGCCGATTTAATTCACTTGTCTGCTCGGTCATTTTTCACCTGGCCTTGGCACCAGCCAAAGTACTTCAACAATTTAATAGTAAATCGGCTCTATTATCCGAGACACAGCCCAGGCACTTTTGCTGATTTAATTCACTTGTCTGCTCGGTTATTTTCCACTTGGCCTTGGCACCAGCCAAAGTACTTCACCAATTTAATATTAGATCGGCTCTATTATCTGAGACATAGCCCGGGCACTTTTACTGATTTAATTCGCTTGTCTGCTCGGTTGTTTTCCACCCAGCCAAAGTACTTCAACAATTTAATATCACCCGATGTGCAGCCCAAGCATCTTTACCGATTTCATTCACTTGTCTGCTTGATTATTTTGCATCTGGACATGGCACCAGCCAAGGTACTTCAACAGTTTAGGATTCAAATGCCTGCATCACCCGATCTGCACCTTTACTGATGTAATTCATGTCTGCTTGGTGTAATTTCACCCGGACATGGTGCCAGGTCACACATCTTTTCCCTGAAAAATGCACTGGCTCAGACACAATGATTTAATATGTAATCGGCTCAATCACTCAAGGTGAAACCCGGGTATTTGTACTATTTCCCACTTGTCGGCTCCATTATTTTGCATTTGAACATGTTTGTTTGGCTGTTTCCATGCATTTATACAGATTCAATGACCTTGTCTGCTCAGTAACATTGCACCAGAATACAGGACCAGCTAATGTACTCAATGGCCTGATGCAAACATAAAACCAGAGGGTGATTTTGAATGCAGGACATGGAAAAGAACACTAGGGGGTTGGTACAACATATGAACAAGTAAACTTAGTTAGGCCATGTGTTAGCCGGGCTAGCTATCATCACGAGACAGATAGCAACATAAATTGTTTAATTAGAGACAAGCCAAAGAATGGTAGGGAGTGTGGTGCCAACTGGGCCCAGCCATATTCGGGCTGGAGATGGCAACAAATGGGGGCCGGCCTCATCTCTGCTCAGGGCTGACAATGAGATTCATGACCTCAGGTATGTAAACTGACTTTGCCAAGCCAGGGTGCGGCAAGTGGGCTGATCCATATTGTGAGGAATCAAAAGCTGTTCAGCTGACCCACAATCCAAGGCAATTTCAGCAGGGTCAATTCATCATTAGGCTGGTCGGCTGGCACACAGAACCACTCCTCAAGAAAATATGGGTGGCCGAGCCAGCTTTGATGGGGTCAACATATACATCAGCTCATCAGCAGGCACCATCAACCATGGCCTGTTTGTATGGTCAGGGGGCTCAGTGTTGTTGGGGTAAGGTCACTAATACTTGTGTGTCCATCATCACCTGTCACATCAGATTCCAAGTGGATCCAGTCCATGGTGGCTGTAGCGTCTAACAACACCCTTTCAAGGGAGTCTTCTCTACATACTCAGTCGTCTAGCCAATGGGGACGGCCCCTTTCAGGTCACAAACATTCAGCTTCTCCCTTTCACTCTGTGTCACACTTTTCTCTCCCACTTCCTGTGCAACATGCTCATTTGTGGATGAGCTACGAATTCTGGGCCAAGAGTTCGAGATCGTGGATGCCCCATGGACTAGCAAGAAACCATTGTCTTGGAATGACGATTTTCTAGAGGTTGGCTACCTCTTGCTCGGAGATGAAGGAGCTCAAGCTTGCCTCCGCTTGCCTCTGCTACTGGGCATCTTGCTCATCCAACTGTTCGTCCATAGTTGAACTCTTGAGTAAAGCAGTCCAATGGGGTATACCATTCAAGATTGGCATCAAAGTGGAGGACTTTCCCAGGTTCAGACCTGAAAATGTCTCCGACACTGACCGTCTCGTTGGAAAACCATTGAGTGCAGTAGAGCCTCCATTCTTGTGCACAGCCCAGGGAGCTCTGAAGGCTTATTACATGAGTTGCGTAAACGACATCATTCGTCAACCGCATGCTCATATCCTCATAGGAATGGGAGGACCTGAAGCCTGGGTAGGGTGCAAATGGGGAGGAACTGAACTGGTCGCCCAATTCATGGAGGGACCTTCACCAGACATTTTTCTTCATTGCCACAGCAACATCGACTCCGACGATGAACACCCCATGTTTCTTTATATGGATGAAATGACCCCACAAGAAATCAACATCCTTTTCGGTTGTATTCACAGCAATGGAGACAAAGACAAGTCGTTATATCCTTCGAAAGATGTTTTAGACGAAGGATGCTTCTTTTGGACTGGGGAGTGGGATTCCAAGATGGAGGACATGTTTACCGATCTCAGGAAGGATATCCTACAGGGAACTGCCAAGTTCAAAACCCCGGGCATGTGGAACAAATATTTCAGGCACAGGAATCATGGCTCTAGGGGACCAAAGGAGAAGCTCAACCAAGTAGTCCCAGCATTGCTTTGCAGACTTCACGTGAGACTTCTGGATGGCTTTCTGGTGGACTGGCACAAATGTTGCATCATCAATATCGAACTACTGGAGGAGTACCGTCCCCATTGACATATGAAATGGGGGGCTTTGTAAGGGGTCAGGATACCAGGATACCCATACCAATGATATTTCCTATTCAATGGAATCCTTTAGCCATTCACTCATCATGGTAGTCACTTAGTCACACTCAGTTACATATAGTTTTGTCACATTTGTTATGATCATCTTTTTACTTCCATCATCTTCACTACTGTTTGTTGTCTAGATTCTTCATGACTCTACACCAAATCTACCGAAGGAATAGAGTGACAAGGTGAGTGTTAGTAGTGACCATCCTGAAGAGCTCATGCCTCTTCTCTAGAATACGCTTATCGTATATCCATCTCCTATTCCCAATAGGATCACGTTATACTTCTCTGCAGCATTCCGAGAGAATAGAGTACGCTACGCTCGTGGCTTTCCAGGGCATAAGTAGCTACTTGCTTAGCGTGGTTCTCTTGTCTCTTAGATTCTCGACCTTCTTACAAGGTCATCACACCATAACGCAAATACATCATGTCAACAGCTTGCCAGATATCTTCGTCGTTAACTACGAGATCCCAAATAGTCTAGCTACCTTGTAATAGATTCCCGCAGTCAGCAGTCTTGCCATCCTCTTGCACTACATGTAGTGCTTTGTATATCTGTACTTCCTACAGTATGCATAATCATGTTGGGCCAGCTGAGTATCTTGTAACTGCTCATTGCTCACTCATGGGTGTTGATCCCAGATCCACCCATTCTTGCCTCCTCCTTCCCTCTTGGCTTCAGCTATGTGAGAAGTTCAGAGTGAACGCTTCACAATCGTCTGTGCATTGAAAAAATGGCAAGTGGACCTTTTAGGCTCACCATTTCTCATCTACACTGACCACAAGACACTCAAGAACTTTCATTCCCAAAAAGACCTGTCTCAATGCCAAGCTCAGTGGATGGAATTTCTTTCACAATATGATGCAAGGATTGTCTACATCAAAGGGGAAGACAACAATGTTGCCAACACCCTCTCCTGCCTGCCTGTATCAGATTCAACATCTGCAGACGCATCTGCGAGACATCCATACAATTTCTGTGAAGATGACAACACACTGTGTGCTGTGGCATCTCTGTCAGTACCTTCGCCTCAAGGAAATTGGGGGACAGCAAAATCACTATCTGCATGCAATGTGTCACTGAACTCTGTCAACGCAATGCTGGAAATTATGGCAGACAGAGCCTTTCTAAACGCTGTTAAAGTGGGGTACACAGATGATGCTGATACGCGTTGCACAGGGATGACCGTGAAAGTGCGAAACATGCAAACAAGGATCAAGCGCGTCGGGAAAACCCTAAACACCTAAACACACACACACACACACACACACACACACACACACACACACACACACACACACACTATCACAATCTCAGTGCACGAGTTCGAGGGCCTTTGGTATTAAGAAATACCACTTTTGTCTTCTTAGGTTTAAGTCTCAAGAGATTTCGTCTCAAAACGGGTTTTTATTATAAGGTGTGGTTTAGAATAGTTCAATAGAACAAAGTATGTCTTTCTGGGAACTTGGTCTCTTAAATGCAAAGTTCTTTGATCACAGTTTCTTTTATTAACACAAAACACGACTTCAATTGACTTTTATGACTCCCGTGAGTTTTTATTATGTCACTACGCTCCAAAACCAAGGGGTACGAGTACGCTGTCTCGTCTAAATGATACTGTGTTTTTAAAAGCTCTTATTCAAAAGTCTCCAAGTAAGTTGACTCCCAAGCATGCTGGCTTCGTTCACACTGTACTTTTCTGACCACAAAGAAATCTCCTTTAATTGATTACAACTGTCCACCTCCTAAGTTCCTACTTGGAGTGCAACTAGCTGGTCAACGGGGGGGCGATTGCTTGCCTTTTGACCTGCCAGCGTGCTCCTTATATACTCCAGGAACCCCTATCTACGTTTTACATGTGTTTTAATGCGGGATACTTCGGTCCGAATTACAAATATGAAATTTAATGAACATGTGGTATATTTTGTAGTCTATCTCTGTGAACACTACAGATTTTGTAGTGTCGCGTCTTTCATTTTCAAACGCATCAGTGTTTGATGTGTACGCGGAGTTAGCCGACGTAGCTATTCTTAGCTTGGCATGATCTCGCGTGTTTCTTTCTATGGCCCGGTTTACCAGTTTGACAGATGACATCACAAAATGATTAACGTTTCCTGATGCATTGATGCGCATGCGTACGCGTTTACCAATAGTCTTCGGCCTTCCGTTGCTTCCGAGTTTTTAATTAAAATGCCTTGTCTTGGCTCGTCTTTTCATTACGGAGGTCGGGAGACACTCCGAAGGTGTTTTCAAATGTCTTTCTTAATTGTCAGGGGGTTCTTATTATATTTCATATAATAGAATGTGTCTTTTTCTCATGTTTGTACCTGTGACGTTCAGACGCATCAGTCTTTGATGTGTACACAGGAACTGCTGTACATGACTTTCTGAATGGCCGTGAGCCACGCTAAGTCTTCGTACATTTACTACCTAGGTGTAGTTTAGTCTTTCAATGTTTCAGACATGCTGTTTAAGCGTCTATGTCGTCTTTTCTGTATTTCTTGTATAAGCATGGGTTTTCACAATAAATCCATTATGTGTTTCTAAACCCTTTGGTAGTAATGCAATTCTTCTCCCTGTGTTGGGTGTTTACTCTAGAACCTCTCCGTGCTCTATTTCATGGTAGGTGAATCTTAGATAGGATCCAAGTATAATGTCACGACACGTACTGCTGCCAGTTCCAAAGCCTTGTCCTATTTTCAGATTCCACGCATTTGCATTTTTAGTCAACTGTGCCGGGTATGTGCATTGACTCTTTGTATCATTGCAATTGTATGTAGTGTATTTATTAGAGATGTCCTTTATCGGTAAAATCTTTAAAATTGAATTTTATACGGGTGAAATGGTTTCATCTGTATCAATGCTTGGTGTAAAACCTTGCCATCAGCGGCATCAAGCATATCAGGCTTGGTTCTACACAATAATCTCGGGTATATCGGTGACAGACTGATCATTCCCCAAACAGGAAATCTTTGTGAAACTTTGTTTTCACTTGCTCACAATGTTTTAGGGCATTTTGGTTTTCACAAAACCTACAGCTCACTGAGGAACACATACTACTGGCCCAATATGTGTTGTGACCTCCAGCAAGGTTATGTGGCATCATGCCCCAAATGCCAGTGCAACAAATCATCAACAGCTAAACCGTACAGACCACTGCACCCTCTCCCTATACCAGACCAATGCTGTGACTCCATGGTGATCAATTTCATTGGCCCTCTACCAGAAGATGATGGGAAAAACTGTATCGTCACATTCACCGATCACCTAGGCAGTAACATTCAACTCATTCCCACTTGGATGGACATTACTGCAGAAGATCTGGCCTTCATTTTCTTCAATAAGTGGTACTGCGAGAACAGCCTACCCACTGACATCATTTCCGACAGGGATAAATTGTTCACATCTAGGTTTTGGAAGGTGCTACACAAGCTGACTGGTGTGGAGCTGAAACTGTCAACTGCCTATCATCCGGAAACTGATGGTGCAAGTGAAAGAACGAACAAAACTGTCAATCAAGCATTGAGGTACCATGTTGAGCGAAACCAATTGGGATGGGCTTGTGCTCTACCTAGAGTTAGATTTCACATGATGAATACAATTAACAAGTCCACTGGATTCACACCTTTCCAACTCTGTTTCAGTCAAAGTCCATGGGTTATTCTACCATTGTTACCTGCTAAATCATCAGCAATGGTTGCTGATATCAATGCATGGCATGTCATTCATCAACTAGAAACTGATGTTTTCGAAGTGCAGGATAACCTCCTGAAGCTAAGATTTCACAATCAGTTCAAGCGAATAAACATTGCATGCTGAAATTTCCATTCACAATAGGTTCTTGAGTCCGTCTCTCCACTCTTCATTAACACAATGAATACAAAGTGAAAGATGAGAAGAGAGTAGCTAAGTTTATGCTGCGATATGATGGACCATATACAGTTACTGACATTGACAAGGAACACTCGACAGTAACCTTGGATTTACCAAATTCTCCAAACATCTGCCCCACCTTCCACACTTCCAAAGTCCTTCCTTACATTGAATCCAACACTACCCTATTCCCCTCGCATCACTTTGAAGAGCTTGACCCAATAATAACTGAAGATGGCAAACAGGAATACTATATCAAACACATTCTCAATGTGCACAGACATGGCTGTGGTTACCAATACCTTGTTCATTGGTGCGGCTATGGACAGGAACATGACCGATGGTTACCTGGTTCTGAAATTCAAGATTGCAAAGCCTTGGATGCCTGGCTGGCCTCTCAAAAAGGATCTCCTTCTTCTTAGGTAGATTTTTTTTTCATCTTTGCCAGCCAGTAGCTTTTTCCCACAGGATTTTGACGCACCCAGCATTCAGATTATACTTACCTTTCATTTACTAACACAGGACTTTCTATTTTTTTTTAATCCTTGCTTTTTTCAGATTGGGGGAGGGTGTAATCCTAGGATTACTACTTCGGGCTTTGTTTGGCATCAGCTTCCACTATATTTGGCTCGCATTACTTCTCACCCACTCTGTTACTCCCTTACCTCTATTACACACTCTCATATCTCATACCTCTACTTCTCTTATATCTCCAGAATCATACATGTGGTTAATTTCTGTTGTCTGTTCTGTGAGTAGTGTTATCTATCCTGTGAACACAGGATAGATTTCCACTCCTCTGTAGTTTATCCTGAAGTGTCTACTTGTCATCATTTTCTCTTCCTTGTTGAAATCCCAGCCACTGTTTCCTCTTCCCCATCCTCATCTGGCAAGTTCTTGGATTCAGGTTCAAGGTCTGAATGAGCATTGTGGGGCTTGATAGTGTTCGAAAGTCCGGTTAGGTCCGGTTATTGGGTGCCCAGGGGCTCTAACCGAGACCGAGACCGGTTAGCCTTTGTCCCGAAACCTAAAATAACCTAACCGGACCGCAACTAACTGGTTACGGTCGGTTATTTGCAGTTACTAACCGGTTAGGACCGAAAAATAAAGAATCGGTTATAACAAGGCAAATATGCTCATGTGTATCTTGATAGATATTATTTCTGCATATTCTAGCTTTAAAACGAGCCCAAGAACGCTAAAATCGGCGAAGAATTGACATATTTATGCAATTATCCTTGAAAGTCTACACATTTGAGTGATATTTTAGAGATTTGACCGTAACTTAGTCAAATTTTAAGTGTTTTCGACGTTCTCAAGTGCGTTTTGAAGGTGTATAATAGGGCTGGTTATAACCGGTTGTAACCGGTTATTTAACGGTTAGTTAACCGCAAAATAACCGGTTATTCCATTTTCGAAATCAACTAACCCTAACCGCAGTTAGGTTAGTGTTGTGGTTAGGTCCGGTTATTTTCCGGTTATTTTCTGGTTAACTAACCTAACTTTCAAACACTAGGGCTTGAGCATGTCTTTCTTGGCCTTTTTAGCAGCTAGCATTGCCCTGCACTTTTGTTGGGTGAGACTCTGTTTTGCAGCCTGAGAAACATGCAAATGTGCAGCAACATCATAATGTTGAGCCCTCCAATCCTTGTAAAGTGGTTTGCATATTGTTAGGACACATGAAAGAGCTCAACAGAGCATATTCACATTGTGGAGAGCATAAGTACAAATGAGAAAATGGTCATCATCTACATGCGAAATAAGTTTGTTCATTTGTGATGTGAGTTCATGTTCTTGCCTCTGAGCTTGAAGTGCAGTTGCCTGACATCTTGAAAGTCGACAATCATGTTGGACTGAGGACACAAACAATCTACAGGTTCTGTGGGTATTTTCCTGGTTTACTCATTGTACCTGAACTTTTTGGCATCAAAATATACTCTAATATGCTCTTTGCATATTGTAACCAAAATTTTGGACACTTTTCCATGCCAAGATTTGTGAAATTCACTGTGAGTGTCCATTTTGGGTAAATCACATGCAGACCCTTGTCCAAAATTGGTGTGAATCAATGCCTTGAGACAACCTCAAAATGGGCACAGCCCACACTATTCAAGCAAAACTCAGTCAGACAAACTTCTCTCAATTATTTTTTGCAGTAGTAATCTCTCTCCTATGACTGTTGATACCATGTCAACATGCTGTACTGTAGGAAGTGTGACATTTTTGGCAGAGGTCACGAATAGTCACTTCTGTACATTTTAAGTGTTTTTTGAGAACAAAGTTTTATGTGTCTTTTTGATGTTCTGGCATGCTATTTGCAAAATGTTTTCTTTGTAACTTTGACCTCCCTGTCACAATTTCTTTTCAAGAAGTT